CTAATGCAAATCAGCTTTTATTTGTAATGAGCCTCCACTGATCTAAGAGTGAAAAAGGCCACAGCTGAGCAAAACGGAGGATTTTATACCATAAACAATTCCAAAGTGGTTTTGAATCGTGCTTTCCTCTGCTACACAAAGAAAACTTATGTCTTTTTAAAACCCAGCTTTACCACACTTAAGCAGCAACAGTTTGGAACAATACAAAAAGCCATTTCCCCCTCGACTAGTGTAAATGGATCTGGAGTTTTCCAAAGCTGTTCTTTATGGCACCTGTAAAAGCTGTCAGTTGAGCCACATGGTTCAACGGTACAGCGCTTATTAGAGCCAACAGCAATCTGTTGAATACTGTGCCACAATCACTCTGTTCTCACACCCACATACACTCACACACATGGTGTCCTGACTCATAGCTCAACTCACAGAAAAACAAGGGGGTCAGATGACTCTGGTTAGGCCCCGGAGCAGAATATAAGTGCTCCTTTTTTCATAAATAACAAACACACACTTCACTAAGGCCCCAAAGAGATGCTGAACTTTAAGAAAAGTTTTTTTTCTTTTTCTTGGATGTCCAAATTATCTGGGAGCTGGGCTCTTTGAAGACCAAGACTGATTTTGCTTCTTTCCCCTAAATATCAATGATAAACTGATACCTGAGAAAGGGTCTGACATTAGTGCTCTTTTGTGGTTTTAAATTTAAAACATGCACTCCTGCGTGTATGAATCCATTAAGCTCATGAAGGGATAAGAAAACGCAAAATTTGGAGCATTGTCATCCAACTTACATGGGATCTGATAGGTCTGCTCAGCACAAAGACTAGTCTGATATGTTGAATTTGACCATTGTTAAGTCCACTAATTCTATCTCAAAAGGGTTAATGGTGAAGCAAGGAGCAAGATGTGGCAGAGTACTTCTTTTTCATCTTATCATTTCCCCAGAAGGTATGACTTTTTCCGCCAAGCTGATCAGGAGGTCAGAGGCAGTACAACTTAAGGCTAGGGCTGCTCAATTAATCGAATTTTAATCACGATTACGATCTGGGCTTTCAACGATCATTAAAAATGACTGAGCCGATTATTAGCACCTCCCTCAAGCTTTACTCTCGCGCTGCTCCGTGTAGCAAATCGAGCGCACCTCTCTGCATTTCGAACACGTGTCACAACAATTAAGAGGACCCAAGGGAAGCTCGGAAAGCTAAGCAGAAGTTATTTGGAGAGGAGAGTGACTGTCGTTGGTTGAAAAGAGAGGTAAAAAAAAAAAACTTCAGTGGTGTGGAAACATTATGGGTTCGCGGAGTCAGACGTGGATCAAGTAGACACAGTGTGTAAACTTTGCTACGGTGTAGTAGCTGCACCACAGAGCAACACTGCAAAGTTCACTAAACATAGATGTTTACATTTTTCATTTATTTCTTATATTGCAAACATTTGCACTGTTATCAGTATTTGCACACTATTTTATATTATTTTTTAAAGTCATTATTCAATACATTGTTATTGTTAACCCTTTAAAGCCGGTCAGAGCAGCACGCTCCGTTTTGTGTAACTATTTTTAAATCCCTGTAGAACCTGAACCATGTAAGCTAGCGCAATAATTTTTTTGCATATGAAACTTACATCTTATGCCATCAGCTTGTCCTCGGTCACGGTTTCCTTCCACATAAAGCTTTGCAAAAATTGCATAAAAAGCGCTTGCAGGAACAAAAACATAATATTCCAGAAACAGCTTTGCCGATCCGATCAGCTGTTCGTAACACTTCCCACATTGAAACAGACGGCAGCGCGAACTATCGCATGTCCGCCATTTCCTGTCCAAAACCGGAAGTGACGCTCATTTCGCGGAAAATGTAGTTTTTTACTTGTAGGCCTTAAAAGCCTATACTGGTGTTTTTATAAGTCATGTTTGACTTTTCTGAATAGTTTCTGGGATGCTTAGAACTCGAATTGCACTGCTGGAAATAGTTTATTTTGATGCACATGCTGTTTTCTTTGCAAATTTGCATCATAGGATTGTTTTTTGTTTTTCCTGCAGTATATAAAAATTGCTGTATCTCCAAAATAAAACTATGAAGACACTCAAAATAAATTTCCTGTTGTTGTAAACTATTTTTTGCAACTTTTTTGTATTTAAAGTTTTGAGGGATAAACCTCTTAAATTTCTCCAAGTAGAAATATATGTAAAAAAAAAAAAAAACGATTTTCAATTTTTTTGTAGTTTATTGCACTTTTTTGCAATTAATGTAGTTACTATGGACTTAATGCATACATATTATTAAAATATGGGCTATAACAGTTGTATAGCAACTTGAAATGCTCCCACAAATGGCACTACAACATGTAAAAAAATAATATAAGCTCTGGCGGACTTGGTTCTATAGTAGGTCTTAAAGGGTTAAATAAATATCGTCAAATAATCGAGATCTCAATTTCAGTGAAAATAATCGTGATTACCATTTTTGCCATAATCGAGCAGCCCTACTTGAGGCAGTGTGAAATAGATGTGTCTGGACTTGTTCAGCTTTTTCTTTTGGACTTACAAAGCAAGGCACTCCTAGGAACTCTCAGTCTGACCTTGGTGACCTTCAGTAGCCTGAAGGTCTTTCCCCACACAAGGGGCCAGATTTACTGACAATCAGCAGCAGTGCAAAGCCCTCTTTTACCAGTAAAAAGCTAGTGTCAGCATTTACTGAATAGGTGCAGTATAAATTTTGTTACTGAAAGCAGGGACATGATTGATTTTCCTGCTTGCCTTATTGCCCGTGTATTTGTAACAGTTTGACTTTCACAGTGCAAAATTTTGCTAAGAAATTATTTAAATGTACCACACAAATGTTGTTTAATAAGGTTTGTGACACTGTCTTATTTTTTCTCCTGATGTGGCTGTGATAGATGATGCTCAGAGTAATTCATTTAGAAATGTTATCAGAATGAGTTTGTACTGGCATGAGTGAATGGCTTAATGATGTAAATGTGGTGCCAAAGCTTCCCTGTAGCTTGTCACTGAGTTTCAGGTTTTCAGCCATGCAGAGATGAGTCCTTCATGAGAACTCCTTCATGGTTTTTCTCAGGAGTGCACATGCACACACAGCTTTGCGACATCGCAAATGAACTTATTTATGGATTAAAGTGTTTCAGATTAATGTCTGATTCTGCCTCCCAAGGTATTCATGTTAAAAACAAAAATAAAATCCAGAACAATGCAGGTGTTATGCACAGTAACCGAGGTAATGCATAAAACCTGTGCTAGCATGCATTATTTTGGACAGTAGATTACTTGCTCCTTCATCAAGTTGACTAATTTGTGCTACTCTCTTTATTGTTAGTAGATCATCTTTAAAGCCAATATGGGCTATATCACTGAACTTTTATTTTTTAGACATTTGATGTGCATTTAAGAAAATAAATCCCAATCCCAATAAGCAGCTTTCCTGATGAAACTCTGAGCCCATGTGACAACATCCCCAAGGTAAATGTCCAGAGACTATCTCTTGCTGTCTCCTTCATGTGATAAAGGGCAGCTTTGTGGATAGTGACTGTCCTAATTACTCTGACAGTGTCCAGAGTTCAGGTGTGAAAACGCTGCTTGAGTAAACAGCTCCTCTCTTCTCCACTGCAGTCCCTTCTCTGAGAAATGAAGCAAGAAAAAGAAGGCATCTAGCCTATAAGCAATCTGGCATCTCCACCACAAGAACAGCACAGTATGTTCAAAATAACAATAGCACCACGGTATCTGCCAGTCAAACGGTGAGCTGCTGCTGTGGTGCAGCTTCTACTGGCACAGGCTTTCATAATTAGAACATGACAGCGATAATCCATGAAGGGTAAAGAACAGACGCACTGTAGAAATGTGTCTTAGGCCAACAGCTCTCAATCTACTGGCCTGCACAAGGCAGGAAGACGCATACAGATTATTTGTAAATCAATTGCACCAGCAGGTTTGTTTTTGGCTGTTTAGTTGACCTAGTATGCTGTGCTGCATTATTAGGCTATAATTACACTGTACTATGTCAACCAGTGTGCCCTTTACTCTGGCAAAGCACATCCCACAAATGTTTGGCTCTGTGTTTCTATATAAAGGATCCTACAGGCAAGGAAAGGTAAGGCTGGGATTAAAAGCCTATGCCCTTGTGGGGCACATGTTTACTGTGCGGTGTAAGGGTCCTATTATCTGCATATCGTGCTTAAGTAAGAGCCCACTCAAACCAGTCAGCAGCCTGTCTGCAGTTTCACAACATATGTAAACACAAAGACTATAACTGACTGAAAACAGTCAGCCTTCACTGCTCCCAAGTATGGTGCTATTTTGGAATTTCCACAAATTCAAGCAACCACAACTCTGGGTCACAAACAACCACTCAGTCACCATATGAATCATTTAGTTAGTGAATAATTCAACTAACATAATAAAGGAGCTTACACAAAACCTATTGTTAACAGTCTGAGGGCAGAGATTTAGGCACCGAGTTACCCTTTGCAAATTGATGCAATAGTATAATTAGCATAATCACACTGAAAGAAACAAGGATGCCCCCCTCCGTCCCCGTTTTACCTCTTGCTGCAGATACAGTGAGCTGTAAACAGGTTGCAGAGCATAAGGCAGGAGCTTTATTTCCACAACAGGGTGGGTGTCAAGAATATTTTGCAGCAGCCCAGTGCAAGAGACTACCAAAACAAGAGCTGCAGGTTATATGCTGATGCAAAAAATGAGGAAATAAAACAGCTGACAGGGTTAACATTGTAAATTAGAGCAACAAATGTGTGTTTTACTGCACACAAACGTACTCATTTACCCAAGTCAGGATCTGTTAATTCAAATAACCAGTGACCAGGCTGACCAGCTGTTACATAATTCTTTGACCTGATTCTTCTCTCGGGGAAATGGGTACAGTCAGTCTACTAAAAAGCCGGAAATGCACAACTTACCCAAACACTGACCACCCCAGGGAGATACATTATAAATATATGTCTGTGTATGCGTGTTTTTCTGGTGGCACACATACCTCGCTCGGGCTTCATGTTGTCCAGTGTCATCAGGTTGCCTTCAGGTGCTCCTGCAGAGATCTTCCCAGTCTTCTTTTTTCCTAACACACCTAGCCTGGACAGCACACACAACGGGCGTCTGCCCCCCTTAAACCCCCTCTGTGACAGAGAGCTGCTGCGTTACCTAAGCAATAATATCAGCTGTAAAGCCTGCGTGTTGGTGCCAACTGCCCCCTATCCAACAACAAAGCATTGCTTTGTTAGCATGCTACTGTCTGCTCCCATTCAGTTGCGCTGTATTGTCAAACACAAAGATAACAGATAGCGTGTGCCACTTACAGTGAGCGTAAGGATTGTCAGTCTGCTTGGTAGCGCCTAGCCGTTCTAACTGCAAATAATTTAACTAGCAAGCCGGCTACTCTTGCAGCTAGTCTCAAATTCCACCACCTGAACCGTAGTTAAGTCGTGGTTCATTTCGGTGTCCCCGTTTGTGTAAGGCTGGCTCCTAACTACCAAGACGCGGGGGATTTGCTAACTCAGCACTGCTATTCAGAAAGCAAACTCAACCAACTATATAACCCCTACTGTTTCTGTATTGTTAAGCTGGTGCTAGTGACGACGACCTCGCAAACATCCCCAACCCCCCAGTAATGTAGCACAGGTAGCCACGGCTCAGCTTCTAATACCGATGACGGGCGGTCTCGGTATTTTTCTCTGCTAAGACGAGAACATTTTCAGCGTTATCATTCCTCTCGCGAAACGATAACCAGCGATAATCACACGGACATAGTGCACTTTCTGCCCGTCAACAAAGCTCGAATCGTCGCCATCTACTTTGCGTTAGAAACGCCACCTGTACAGACTTCCTTTGTGATCCTCATTAAAACTTTTCAAACCGACAACAAATAGTCCGACTCCGACCGAACGCTTCGGGGACGACGGCGACGTTTCCCACAAGCTTTTTTTCTATTTTTAAGGAGCAACCGTTGTTGTCAGGGCGCTGACACCAGCTGACTACTAAAACTAGAGGACTAGGTCGGTACTGATATTATTCAGGCGAAATGCAGATGAAAGGAACAGTGAGTCCTCCTAGTCGTGATGCTTTACAGTCTGCCTCCCTTCCTCACTTCCCTCCCTGCTGCTTGTCAAAACAGATCAGTGCAGCTCTAGTCACGTGTCCCAACAACAGTGCCTCTCGTCACTTCCCTCTCTACCAGCCTCGCATGAACTCGCAGCCATAGCAACCGCCAACTTAGAAGTGGTACCAAAACTTCTGAGGAAGTCGCGCCATGTGTGGCTAAAAAATGTAGATTTAAAAATAAAACACAAGCCCAGCAGCGTGCCTTTTCACTTCTGAAAGACAAACAGCGATTAAAAAGTCCGAGCGGAGACGAGGACGCACAAGAGATGGGCTTCTCTCCCAATGCTGATTGGTCAGAGGAATTCGGTGCGCGTTCACGTGCGCGCGTGAGGGTTCGTCTTTTTTTTTCCGTTGTGGACATTTTGTTCTGGCTTCAACCTAAACAAGGCCAAGATTATTTTTGGAGATGCTGTTATATGTTAGTTGGCTACAAACTGGATGACAGTCATCTAAACTCACTCAGAAGTTTCTGGAAAACAGTAACCCTTGGCTCACTAGGTCTTTTTCCTCCGTAGAAACTCCCCTGCGGTGTTTTTAAACAAAGGCGATGGTTAATAGAACTTGATTTTTTGTTTTGTTTAAATAGCTCGAAATGTTTAAGCTATAGGTTGAGAGTTTCAAGGTTAAAAGCGAAACATTTTATAAGGCATGGATGACACTTGAAGATTCCCCACAGTCAGATGCTGGTAACGAGAGGTGACTTTAGGCATTAAGGCAAGAAATCCAAAGAGTAGGCAAAAATGAAGTAAAAAAACAGTAGGGGAGCCTGGGGGTGATTGTAACACTTACAGCTCGCAGAATATTTGGGCCACGATTCTTACACTTTGGCATAAAATAGCCTTATGTACCCACTGCAAGTAGAAATGTTTGTAACCTGTTCAACTTTCTCAGGCAATTAATTACTTGATGCATAACACAAGGAGTTCTATTGTTCATAGCCTGCCTCACTGCTGGGATATGTAGTAACACAACCTGGGGTAAATTATAACAATTAGAGTAAAAAAAAATCAAAATTGAGACCATATGCATCTTAGTCGTTTTATTGTGCATTGCTTCAGTAGTTTTAAGGTCTTCATCGAGGTCAAAAAGCTCCCACCTCTGACTTTTAAATCTGAGTCAGCTCTTGTCAGAAAATGTACAGTAGAAGCAGTAACAGAAGAACAATGTAATTGTATTTCCCCCAAGAGTAGTCATGTTTTTCTCACCCACTGTCCTGGCACCCAAAAAAAGTAAAAAGAAAAGAAAAATCAAAAAAAAAAAGGACATGGGAAACTGTTTTTCTTTGTCATCATGGGGATAGTTTTAATACTTTTAAAATAGGTGTTAAGACCACCCCACCCATTTCAACCATTGTTTAGCCAGCTGGAGCACCATGGGGGTCTGAAATTAGCATAGGTTAAATGCCTCACATTTTACCCAGGACACTGCTTTTTAAAATTACAAGTTGCATTTCAGCAGTGTCAATGGTAATACAAATGCACACTTGATTAAAAAAATTGTTCTGTGTTGAAAATCAGTTAATTTGCTGTAAAATCTGAATGGTTATTCACATGGATTAGCAATTTCACATTCAATGTCAAGGAAGATGTTATACATTAAACTAATGATATTTTTTAAGTGAAAGCAGTAGTTTTGCAATCATTCCTTTGTTGCAGTCTCACCTGCAGCGTTTTCTATTCCTATCCTGATACATGTAAGATGTGGTGTGTTGACTTTCTGGTGGAAAATAGAGGACAAGGGAAAAATGCTCTGATTTAATCAACACTGTGATGAAACACAGTGTTGATTAAAGGCAACAATAACAATTCATTTCATGAACAGACTCTGTAGACCTGGCTTTAGTTTGCTAGTGAAATTACACTATTTGGGATACAGAACAAAGATAGCAAAATATTGTAAGATACTGCAAACTAAAAAAAATGAAGCTATTTGTTGAAATTAGGAATGTTAGTTCAAACATAACCACGGTTATCTGATAACGGGTGTGATAACAAATGTCAATTGTGTCAAAGAAATTTTGTGTTGAATAAAATGGCTTTGACTGAAATATTGTAAAGGAGTTTGAGTATTATTTTTTTTTTATAAATTTTATTTTCAGTCACAGCAGCGTGTTAATAACAAAACATTGAACATACAGTAGTTTGCTGTTCAGTATTTACAATACCCAAAAAGATAACAGAAATAGAGAAGGAAAACAAACAAACAAATCAAAGAAACCCCTACAAAACAACAAAAAACAAACAAACAACAACAAACAAATATAAAAATAAAATGTATAAGGGACATTCAGCGTACAGTTAACTATGATAGTGATATAGAGATATGGCATCCGGTCATGATAAGGTGGTCATTTTAAATGTTTCCATGTACATCAGGAATGGCTGCCATGCCTTAAGAAATTTGGTGGTTCAACCTGCCAGTGTATATCTCATCTTTTCTAAATGTAAAAACCTCATGAGCTCTGCAAGCCACTGTTCATGTGTGGGAGGAGCTTCCTGCTTCCATCTTAAAAGTATAAGGCGCCTTGCGATAAGTGAAGCAAAGGCAATAGAATTAGAATAGTATTTTGGCAAAGTGATGTCTTGAGGTATCACCCCAAAGATAGCCGTTAGAGCAGAAGGATCATATTTAACGTTATACATCTCTGACAGAGTGTTAAATATAGACACCCAATAGTTATGAAGATTGGGGCATGTCCAAAAGGTATAAGTTTGGGTATTTTTTTAAACTAAGATTTATTTGTTTCTCTTGCATAAAGGGTGGGGATAATAAAATAAATAAAATAAAACATTTTTTTAGTATCCATATGGACTGCCAGCCAGACTGTTGCATAAAATACTGGTAACAGTATCAACCCAGAGTTTGACAATCAATCCACTCCTAGCTGCAAGCCTTTTAAATTTTAATTCAGCTGATTTGTGCTTTCTCTCTGATACCAGATGCATGTGACCCAGAGAATGTGGGTCATTTGCACAATAAAACAAACACTTACCAATTGATTGTGGGCTTTTATCGACAAAGCAGGAGCAAAGTTTACATATGTATGAGGACAACACTAACTGTTGTTTGTGCTGAGTCAAACATAGTGGAGCTCTGCATCCCATCCTGACAAAACCCCAGGAGCTGTTGCATATCACATGGTTGAAGATACACATTTCTTTAAAACCATGGCATCCCCCATACCGTCTGCACAATAGCCATAAATTATGGCCAGTAAAATTAAACATGTAAATATAGCACATCTGAATAAAAAAAAAAAAATGCTGTTCTTTGACATCTTACAGAACAAACTGCTTCATAAAGTTGCAATGTGCTTTAAATACACTATGATCACCGTTCTCCCTGAGAAAACTGGCTATGTTATTTTTAAAAGCCAAATGAAAGTCAGCAGACATTTTGAGCTGCACAATTTAATTACCTTCAAACACCAGCAACACAGTGAGGCCTGTAGTTTGTTTGATGATGTAATTTAGCAATAAACTGTTAAGCTAATAGTAGACAGTCAAGCCCCTGCTGATTCTAATGGGGGCATTTTCTGAATGCATATAAAGCTCATTTGCCTTATCGTCTTAGCCCACGGTCAGAAAATCAGCTCAGTGTGATGGGGATAGTTATCTTCGTAGGTGCTGCAGTACAGTACCCTGAATCTTTGTTATTCTTTTTCTTTTTCCTTTAAAGATGTTGGTAACTGCAAATAATGATTGTTTGTGAAAATTCATGTCACAGCTCCATCTACTGACAGGATACAGGTGGTGCATTAAAAAAAAAACAGTCGGCTACAAGATTAAAACCCCTAGTAGTTAAAAGCACTGATCATTTCATCACGTTAAAGTGTTCTTCAGGTAAACCTTTGTTCACGTCCTGGACAAGTACTGACGATCATTGTTGTATGCAGGGAATCACTTTATTGTTGCACTTTGAGATCATTCAGTTAAATTAGTAATGGGCTACAGAGTAGGTAAATAGACTCACGTGTAGTTCTCTGAGAAAGTTAAAATGATAGCCCAGATGCAATTACATTTTGTTTTTCTGCACTTGGCTGCTTAAATGTGACTCACATTTTTAGCAATAAGAAACTGGTGGCTCTAGTTTCTTTGGCGTTATACATATTTTATAGTAAAGACGGACCCCTGTTTGTTAGTAGTTCATGGAGATTTAGAAAAAAATGAAGGTTATACAGGTTTGTTAAAACAGAAGCTTTCAGGTTGAGATATTTTACTTGTTGTGGCAATGTGATTCATTTTGGAACTTTTCCAGACTAACAATTTATCTGTCAATTAAAAGCCTTCAATCCACATTTGTTAGAGGTAAAAATTACTGCGTGTGTGTGTGCAATCCATCATGTTCTCATCCCACGGTACAAATGCTGATGCATCAGATGGGCTGCTTGTATCACAGAAGGCCTGTGCAAATGAAGCCTCTAACCTTGAGGATCTATCTTCTGAAACTACTTGTCATGCAGGTTGACATCCAAGACAGACTCATATACCTGGATGTTTCCTACATGCCGATTCAATTTGAAGTTTTATTGATTCAATTTGTCCGTCTGAGCAAGAAAAGACAAAACCTAGTAAAAAGAAAATTAAAGTAACAATGTTAATAATACAACAGCAAAGATTCAGAAGCTGGAAATACCAACAGTTTATTTTCTACTTTTTGTGACTACAGAAATGTTGAAACATTTGAACACTGAAAAAAGCTGAATGACATCATCACTTGCTTCTCAATTTTCTTTCTTTTTTATCATTTGCTTAGCAATCACAACAGATGATATTGCACGGCACTGAGAAAGCAGTAGCAAAGCCTGGGAAACAGCAATGACAAATCAAGTCATGAGACATGGAGTTTTACATCTGAGAGTAACACCGACAGTATTGCCTCTCTGGCATACACGCACGCACGCACACACACACACACAAACACGCACACACACACACACACACACACACACACACACTGACACGCAGACTAAAAACCGAAGAAGCACTGTGAGTTGATAAGGAGGTCAAAAGAAAGAGATCGAGTCTGACAAGAGCACAAGGCTGACAAGAGCAAGGAGATTTCATTTTGAAATGCAAGTGCAAAATGAACTTCTACTGTAATTTATTCCTAAATGTCTATGACAACAAATATGCTTGTTTATCAAAACCCTTCAAGCATCTTTGTATATGAATAGCTGGAGGACACCCCTCTGCGGGTGGGAAACTAGTTCCCCAGCGTAAGAGATCCAGATGATTGTCTTAGGTGCTGCAGTATTATTATGAGACTTGTAGCCAAGCTACCCATCATATGGGAACTCCTTATGGGCAAAACAAATAATAAGAGATGAATTAGGAAACAGGAAAACATAGGCCCACGCTGCATTATCCTTTTGTTCACTTTACAGGCCTTTTTATGTAAAATTAAAGCATCTGTACTTATTCATTCAAGACACAATGAATGCATAACATCCTGATGTAATCTGTCATGGACATTTTGGTGATGACCCCTTAGTCCGTGGAGACTCTGTGCTGTCTGAGCATGACAGAGAGGAAACAGTACTAACAGTGCAGCCTCTGATACCCAGAGACCTACTGTTTTAAAATGTACCAGTCAGCCACACACATGCATACACATCAGCAAAAAGCTTGACAATATGCAGTACAAACACATTAGACAATGGGCAACGACAGAATCAAAGAGATGCATGCAAATGAGCTCACATACAAACTTGCATACTTCAGCAGTACTTGACATTTGAGGCGCACGCTCACATTCACAGACAGAAAAACAGAAGAGCAATCCGAATAATCGTCCCCATACACACTCGCACACGGATTCCTTGGTAAGGTTCTTTGCAGTTTTATTAGACTTTGCTTATAGTCATTACACGAGTACGTACCAAAAGAACAGATACTAGATGGAGCAAGGCGGCGGTGCCACGGCAATAAAAACAGACCCAGCTCCGCGGCACAGCCCCTGGCAGACCGGCTGCCCAGCCTAAACTCCACCTCACTCTGTGTATGAGACAGCAAAGTGAGCGGGGCTTGCAGCCCTCGTTTCAAATGCTCCAGATTGTACATTGAACAGGAGATTCCCCACATGGTAGAGTAAGCTTGCCTACATAGCCCTACGCCTTCTACATTCTATACCCGTGCGAATGGCAAATCAAAACTCAACAAGTCTACCTCACAAATGCCAGTGCTTTTCAACATTATACATATTTTTTTTCCAATTTTTGGTTTGTTTTAAAAATCTTTGGATGTGCAGTAATACCCATAAAATAAGTGTTTTTAAAAAGTCAAAAGAATAGAAAAACACACACACGTACACACTGCTTTTTGCCAACTGTTCAACAAAGTAGCTCCTGTATAACTTTGTCTGCATTGGCAAATCAACTGTCTTGGTTTCTGGCAGTGTTTAAAACACACATTGAAATGCCGGCTAGGATTTAGCTGAAGAAGAATAAAAACTACTCCTTTGTTATATCTAAGCATGGGAAATAAGGCTGTAACATAAATGGTCTTTTTTGTTTCTTTTCTTTTTTCCAAAAACCTACTATATACAAATCTAGAGTTTCTACAAATGCATAAATTAAAGTAGTGGTTAACCAATACAAAAATGCAATTAAATTAAAATCACAACACAGAAGTAGAGAAAAGGGAAAATATGAACACAATATCACAGCAGTTGGTTTTACCCTGTAAAAGCAATAGTCTACCATCATAATATTGGCATAACCCAGTGTCCGATAAAAAATACGCTTCTCCCTCCATCCCAAAAGTTTCCTACATCAACCCTGAAACTTGTCCTCCATGTCTTGAAACAGAGCACTTCTGCCAAAAAACAAAACAGAACAAAAAACAGCAACTTCAAAATAGATAATCATACAGCTTTTTGAAGTAACAATAACAATTACCACACAAGTGGAGTTCTGCCTAACTCACAGATAGACGTCTCAATGCAGAACTCAAAGGAATTATTACTATGAGGTATTCAGACACATTGGTAAAGACATGCACGGCCAGAGTGCTGGACCTTCCTACACACAGCAGAGAGACAAGCAAGGTTAAGGGAAAGAGGGATGGAGGGATGAAGGGCGGGCAGGGGAGAGGATAAACAAAGACCTTTGGTTTAAACTGTAGAAGTGGACAACAAAAATTCCTTTGGTATGTTTTCATTGCATGGTTGCGCTGGCGAAAGCACCACGGTGTGATTAAAGAAAAAAATCTTCTCATTGTTTCTTCAGTAGTGGCCCTTCTACAGGCTGAGGTATTCACAGAGTCAAAGGTGAGAGGTCAACAGCGGTTTAACACTTTGGTTCAAGCAAGGCACTCGTCCTGGGAGTTTTAGAAAGATTGCAACACGTCTGCTTCTACTTTCAGGAACATGTCTGCCTATAGTTGAGTCATCAACTCTGCCCATGGCTATGTCAGGTTTTCTGCCTGTTGTAAGGTGAAGATGTCTGACCTATTTGTTGGATCAATATTATCAGCCTATAGATACACACTAACAGGCAGGCCAGGTGGAAATAAAGCTGCAACACTGAGAGCTCTGGTGGGGTAAGGCTTCAGATGCAAATTTAAAATCATTAATGAACCAAACTAAAAGCCTTTCCTGTCAACAAAGCGGTAGACAGTAATGTGTTTCTGTTATGAACAACCACTGATCACATTACTAATAAGGTAGTTGTACCCCACAGGCACCAGCATGGCTGATTGTGTGTATCTAAGGCTAGTTCAGCACATCTGCCTATAGCTACATCAGTATGACTATCTATGGAGCTGTAATCAGAGCACAGATGAAGCAAGAGCACGCATAGCGGGGGTGCATGGGTTGAGTGCAGGTGGGAGGGGGAGAAAGAGGAGGAGAAAGGAGAAGGGAAAAAGAGACAGGAGATAAGGGGGAGGGGACACATACATCACATCTTTGAACACCACTCATAGAGGCCGTGCAATGAGAAAAAATCTTTGGTTATCTTTGGTATCATCAAAGTGATAAAAATCACGTATGGAACTTGAGTGAGGTAGCATCTTTGGTTCACACTATAAAACATCAGCAGGTCTTGACACATTTTTTTTTTTGGTTTCTTGTCGTCTTTTTGGTTTTTCTCTCAGAGATAAAGAAAAAGCAGCTCTCTCTTGCCTCTCCTTCAGCGCTTGTTCTGATGAATGTAGAGCTGCTAACCCTGGCCATGAAGAGGATGACGGCAAGGGGCCAGCGTAATATATCTAATGCTATGCTGCCCTGGGCCAGCCCTGTGTAGTGCTTTCCTCCTAGTGCTGAAATGCATAGCTTACTAGGAGAGTGGAGGCAGGGAGGGGAGGAAGTGCAGGGTGGATTGGCAGCAGGCAGGGAGCGGGGGTGCTTTCGTATTCAGGTGACAAGCTGACATTGCTGTGTAAGCGCCTGAAAGTGATTTGATCATTGATATCATCTCCTCCGCCCAACATCTTTGATGAGGAGATAAAATCAAATACATATGAAGTGCTTATTAAAACCACCAGAGGCACTGTGGTTTTGACACGCTCCCTCACACAGTGTCAAAACCACACATAGATCCAGTAGCTTGTGTTTTACATAGAAAACTGAAGAGATTTGTCTTTGACAGGTGCTGGATTTTGAACACATAAAGTAGAACTAAACCTGCCGGCATTAGCTAAGCAGATTAGAAGGATTAGATGTAGCTGTAATGACTAACCTTAACATTGAGTACAATGATCATAATTCAGGAGAGTGTCTGCGAAGTTAAAAGTGGTATAGTCTATTTCTTTCCAAGAAAGCATCTATAAGGCAAATATCAATAGTTAATTTTTAGGGTTATACCATAGAGTATTTCCGTTTACAGGGAGCAAATATTTAAACGTGACTCAAAATGTTCTGTGGAGAAGGACAAGTATGATTTCCTTCTTCGTGGAGCACACTAACAGTCTGTCTCAGGAGGTAAGGGAGGAAAGCAGGTAAAAAATACTTTTATCAACTACAAAATATATTCTTTGGTCAAATTACTTCATAGGATGTTCTTAAGTGGTTTGATTTCTAAACTGCAAAAGAGGCTTCAAGGTGTAGAAGGCTTTGGTTTTTCTTTTTGAATTATTCAATGCCTCAGCATGTTGGAAGAAAGCACTACCATGTGGGTTGATGTTAGGCATTCTTTTCTATTTGGTTTGGTTTAGGGTTGGACCTTTTGGTTTTAGGGTTAGCAGTCTACGCATGGACATTTCCCTGTCTGTCTGGAATGCTTGATAGAAAGACAGACAGTTGGACAAACAGTCAGACAGTCCGCTCCACTGATCCGAACAAGGTTGCACAACAATCCAGTCTCTCCTGTGGGATTTTTTTTCTTTAAAGTTGATTGGCCAATCCCACTGGAGCTCCACATTCTGGCTGTTTTCGAGGCCGTGGACAACTGCAGATCAGACTGTCAAGAGGCTGATTAAACCTCTGTTTAGGGACCCATCATCAAAACCAACCAATCAGATTAAAGATAACAGTGGAGAATGATAGATTCATACTGGGTGGGGAGGTGAGGGGAGGGTGTAATAAAGCTAGAGACCAGTGACAGCGAGTGTGTGTAAGAGGGGGAGTAAAACTATAGTCTTTTTGCAGTATGTTACACATAAATGTGTTGCTAAAACAAACATTGTAAAGCAGGTCAAAGGAGAAGTCTTTGGTTTGTTTTTTCATCTTTGGATACTATAAATATCAATATAGTACAGGTTTAAGGGCAAAACGTTGCTTCAAGGTCTTTTTTAAGTTTTCTTTGTTTCTCTTAAGTTTTAAAGCTTTTCCACCGAGGTTGAGTCAGTCCATGAGTTGGTCAAATCAGTCCTTCTTCAGGCTTTGGTGCAGGCGTTGGGGCCAGAGTTGGCTGAGTGACCAGAGCCGTCATCCACCCACTTATCTAGGCTCCGGCGGCGTGCGTTCATAAAGAAGTTGCTGACTGTAGCCAGCTCGAGGCCCAGCTGTTGAGCAATGGTGAGTTGCAGCTCTTTGGATGGACGCTTGTTCTCTTTGAAGATGGCATGGAGTGTCCGCCGCTGCACATCTGTGAACACAAGCCGGGGCTTCTTGGTCACATTTCCCCGCTCGCTTCTGCCGTGGTCCTGTTCCTTACGCTTACACGCTGTGGAGATTTCAGCAAAGAGACATACAGAGAGAGAGAGGGGATTTGTGAGAGAGGGCAGAAGACAGAAAAACGAGAATCACAACTTATCCTGGGATTTTAAAAAGTCCTGAGTAAAGAGTGTGGCCTGAACCATGAATTGGTTCTTTTCCACAATATTAGGCTGGGGGAGGCAGGTTGTAGTTTCCACTCTAACTCTGCAAAGTCCTCAGTGATGATCACAAGTATTTTAAATGCTAAAATGTTGTTTTATCTTCATAAAAAGTAAAACAGAGGTTTTGTATGTGACAATTTGTATTTTTCCCTTTTTTATCCTGATTGTCAAGACCTGAGACCTGTTCAAAATACAAAAATTACATATTCTGATAACATAGGATTGGGGTCAGGGGTACTTAATCCTCTAGGGACTAAATGTGCTAAACTAATGTGATTATCTAAAGCCAATCCAAGCCTCTTTACTGTGTAATGTTATAGAGAAGTCAATTTGGATCTACTCTGATATGGACTTTTTAGGTCCTATGGATACACATGCAGCTGAAATTTGTTTTTAGTGATGCCAACATGAAGAATATTCAGTTGTATCAAGAACCAAATTATACACAAGTTCTTATTTGTATATCTCTTTAATTTCCTTTAATTCCTAGAAACATATATTTTTCTTGTGTTTCATGCTCGCTCTAATAAAATATTAGCCTTCAATGTAAACGATGCACAGCCTGTTTTGAAAGCTTCCTTATGTTTGATGTAGCTTGTGTGTGGTTTGAGTTTGGTGAAATCAAGTAAACTGTCTTTGCTGGTCTAAGCAAATTTTTGGATACTATTTCATATTTCACATTTTTGGATACTAAACCAGTAGAACTGGTAATTGAAAGGTTTTATCAACATTTTTCACAGACACATTTCTATTACGGTTTTTGCATCATTTACTCTGAAAGAATCACACAGCCAATGATTGTTGGAAGTAGTGCTATTTTTGTTCAAAACTCCTCATTTCAGATTTTTAAAAAGGTACATGGGATATAATAGCAAAATTAGACTCATAGATCCACATAGAGCCTCTTTTGATTCAGGCACCAAAGGTTTCGTGGGTCCAGAAGAAGAGCAATCAGCAGCAAGCATGCCAGAACAATGAGCGCTGTCCACGGTGCTGAAAGCAATGTCCCCCGCAGGTGACGTAGATAAATAAAGAAAATGGCCTGGAGATGATTTTATACTGGAAAAACAAAAACTTGGGAATCCATCTGATAAAAAGTCAAACTTCAGTTAATCTGAACTCTTTGCTACATGGCTACAACTTTTTTTTTTATTAACACCCCAAGCTCCAGTCATTTAAACGGAGAGTGAGGTCAGACCAGGAGGGGGCAGACGCGGGCTGCTAAGGTGAGACCAAATATGGGCTCACTGGGGAAATTAATGAACAACACATCACAACCACAAAACAATTCTCCGACCAGCACGGATTAATTTTGCAAAGTGCACGAAGTAAACAAACGTATTTCATGAGTCAACCCGAGACAACGTGCTGAAAACAGAAAACTTCGATCAGCCAAATTTAGACACCTTTTTTGAAAAAAAAAAGGATATGTAGAGGAGAACAACTACAGTAAGTGTTTCCCTACACTAATAAACTAATAAATAAATAATAAAATAACTTCCCGTTCTATATTGTAGTAAAGCACTACATATTATCGTTAAACTCTACTTTATTCCTCTTGTTGTTCTTAGTTTTGATGTATTATCTCCAAATGAAAGCTTAAGTAACACTACGCGATACTTTAAAAACGATTAGAATTATAAAATCAAAAGAGGACCTCCCCCCCCCTCCGAGATCTCACATGATACATGATTTCTAATTTCAAGCACTTTCTTCAGCATGTGCTAAAGTACAGCGAAGCGGCCTGTTAGCATGACCATAAAGTGCAGTGGGCGTATAATTGTGAGTATGAGCAGCCCGTTGTCTCCAGTACAGGTAAATATTAACAGAGGGCCGGAGCTCCTCGTGTAAGGGTTGCAATAAATCAGCACGAGTGAAGGCCACTCAGACAGCAGGAGCCAGCACAGAGGAGCCCGACCCCGCACGGGAGGCCCGCGAAGACAGGGAGCTTTCCCAGGACCGACGGGAACATAACAACGGCCTCGTTATCGGGCTAATCACACACACACACACACACACACACACACACACACACACACACACACACACACATATACACACACACACACACACCGCTGCTGCTGCTCGCGGCTAATCATTACAAACACGAGATAACTCCACACACTGAAACAGACTGCACACATAGCGTGTACTGCTGACACAATGTGACGAAAGCCCCGCGTTTCATAACCGTACAGAGAACAACAAACAGACATCTGAGCTGAAAACGTTGCGAAGATTTAGCCCAGCGTGTATTTATTTCAAGAATCTACATCCCGATTAAGTGGAAATAGATAATTATTCACCAAGAATAATAAAAAGAAAACACAACCACCATCAAGAAAGGTCTATGCAATCACAGCTTCTTTCCACAAAAAAAAAAAAAAGTTGTAATGAATTCCTATGCGCTGTCTGGAGTGGGTTCTCTCCTCACTTTTATATCTTATTGTATTCTATTTTATTCTATTCCATTCTACACATACAAATATTCGGATGGGTAATTGAATACGTGGGAAAACGAGAGAAGGCCCAAGATTAATTTCAGAAGCCTAAAATCAATGAACAGATCAAATCTACCTCAGCACAAGATCACATATCCAGTTCACACAGGAACGAACGGATCAATAAAATGGCGCTCAGACTATTTTATTCTGAATTTATTTAATTTTTAACTCTATTTCCCCCCTCTATTTCTCAATTGTCCATCTTCTTTCTCTGACATTTTCTAAATAAAACTCGCAATTGATATTTTGGTACTTTTTTGGCCAACCCCCCCAAAATAAAAAAATCAACAAAAACAAGAGTTTATACAGTTTAAATATGTTTTTTTAAGTTAGTTAACATCGACAAAGAAAAATACAACAATAACTGAAGCAGGCCTGTTACATTTTCCCTGCACTGTATGAATATCCATTTCTCTGAAAATTAAAATCAGAGCTTTAACGATACAAGTCAATATGCTGCTGGTCTGAGTTTAGTTTTAATTATATGCTCATTCCACTAATGATAAAATGATGCAAATGCAATATCAAATATGTGTGCGCGCGTGTGTGTTTCACTCATTTTCCACTGATAAAATCATCTGAGGACAAAAAACACATACATACATACATACATACATACATCCACCCACACACACACACACACACACACACACACATCAGTAGCAGCAGATGGGAAAACTGAAAAATAATCAATTGTGATTACACTGATGTGCACACGCACGAGCATACACGTGCACAAAAGCGCGCACTTTCCACCGTGTAGCCTCACTTTTCAAAAAGCACAAAAGCCCCATTTGTAGGTCATTGATCGGGCCTATAAACGTAAAAAAAATCTATTGGGTCTATTGGTGTGTGTGAACGCGCACGTGCTATTTGGGCCTCGCTGGGCGCCTTAATTGACTCGTGCGTACCACAGGGACAAATTAATACAGAGGTCTACCAGTTAATTAGAGAAACTTCAACGAAGTCAGGGTTTGTTCACCAGCTAAACACGAACACGTGCTCTTTTCAATTCTTTTCTGCTGAGGAACTGAAGTCTCTAATTTTGCCAAAGAGAGCTCCAAACGTCTTTACACCAACTAAATAATGCATGACTCCGGCGTCGCTTTGATTCGGTTTATGACAAACTCCCAGGAACACGTGCACACACACTCTGTGTTTACATGAAGGGCAACTCCAAAAAAAGGAGCTGATCGGTTGCATCTACACCAAAATAAACACGTTCCTAACGATTTCTGGGAGAAGGATCAGTTTACGCACACAGTCCAGCGGTCGATATTTTGAGGTAAAATGACATGAGTACTTGTTCCACACAAGCCCCAAAATCAGTGTAGAGACAGAAAAGGGATGCGTATTGATGTCAGGCCAGTCTCTGCACGGTCTTCAGCTCAGTGAAGTTTGTTTTCGGCTCTAATTCCTCCTGTTGTTTATCTGCCTGGATGTTGAATTTAACCACTCAACATAAATAATAGTAACCAGGGCCAACTTTTCCCGATTCCGTCCTAAAGCTGATATCATTTGACTTCCAGCATCTGGAGGCAATTAGAGAGATTACAAGTTATACATATCTTTTAAAGACCTATCCAGCACAGAGGAAACGCCAGTCCTGAATGTGACTCTTATGTGAATTTGAATGTCTTACAGTTGGTTTGCTATATTTTTTTTTCCAGTATAGCAAAAAACAAACTACAAGCCCAGTTTCAATTCCTCTCTCCATTGCTCAGCACAAGATAACATTCAGCGCCAGTGACCTTCTGTGCCAAATTACAGTCATTTGCCGATCGTTTTATTTTTCTTTGGAAATCAATGAAAAGATGAAAGCAAAAATGGGGCTTTACCGAGGCTTCGCTCACCTGCGAGCCTGAGCGCACTCATGCGTTGGAACTCAGGCTCCTGCAGCCATTTCCACATGCGGCGGAAGGTCTCTCTGCCGGACTTAAGCTTGGACCAGGGTTTGGGGTTTCGCAGCAAGTCGGACAGGGTCCCTTGGGACCTGCACAGGACCCGCTGGGCAAAGATGGCCTGAGGGATGCTGTAGCGCTTCAGCTCTGTGGTGATCCTCTGCGCCACCTCTTTGGTATTCACCTCCTCCATCTGTCCCCCAGAAACACCACCCCCTCCACCGCCGCCCCCTTGCTGCCCGGGCCCGGAGGCCTGCTCCCGGCTGTTCCCCAGCACTTGGCCGTGGCCCTGCGCGCCAAGGTGGGCGTGCGGATGGTGATGGAGGCCGTTGATTTGTACCATACCAGCTGAGGAGCTCATGTGCTGCTCCGCATGTCTGCTGAGCATGGCCGGATGGTGAGCCTCGAACCCGCTCGGGGTGAGCATCTTCTCACCAGGCATAGCGGCACCAGGATGAGCGTAGGGGGGGATGCCGGCCTGGGACGTGTGTATGCTGGCCAGACCGGAACCGGATAACGGGGAGAGGCTCTGGCCCATGCACGGATCCTTGTGATGATATGCGGGATACAGACTGTTCATAGGCGCCAGACTCCGGTCCTCTCGCATCAGCGTGAAACTGCCGCTAACATTTCCGGGGATCCTCTGGTGCGGGTGCGGGTGAGGATGATGTGGATGGTGGTGGTGATGATGATGGGGAGGAAACTTGTCGGACACGGTGGAGATGGGGGGTAAGGGCTGCAGGGGGGTTAGGGTAGTGTAAGTGCTGCTCGCGCTCATGCCAGGGGGGGCTTCACACATGCTGATGGCTGGATGCAAGTGTCCAGAGTGGCTGGGGTGATAGTCTCCGGTGTCGAGCAGGGTCGCCATGCCCATAGCACGGTGGCTTAAACCCCTAGGGCTCGGACGGGAATGTGGACTGTGGCCACTCAGCAGCTCTCCGTGACCGGACACGGACTCATGGCTCACTCCGTGCAGGTCGCCAATATTCTCCATCGACAGCTGTGCGTTCATGATCCGGGCAGCGCTGTGGACAAACCATCTATCTGACCTACCCCAGTTAGCTGATGTCCAGAAGTCCTCACGTCCAGTAAAAGTTCAAATTTCTTTTGTTGTTGTTTTTTTCTTGCAGTAGCCTCCTTTGCTATTGCCTCTTCTCTGTCCTTACATTCACCTATTTCATTATTCCCCTACCTCGCACGCTGTTTTGCAGAATGAAAACTCCTCTTCCGAATCCCCCTTTGCTTGACAGTTTTTTTTTTTTTTTAATAATTACTCTCTTAATTTTCTGATTCTCTTTATAATTCAAGCCCCCCCACCACCAACCAGCTGTCCTTGCGCTCCGGTCGGGTGCCGCGCCATCTCTCTAGCAGTGTGTCTCCAGCCCGTTCCACCGCAGCACAGCTCACTGTCTACACATGCGCAAAGGGGACACCCATCTCCACTCGTATTCTCTCTTTCTGTCTCTCTCTCTTTCAGGCACACGCGTACACACACCGCCCCATTCTCTGACGTCAGGTACCTTATTAAGGAAGGATGGTATGAAAAGCTGCTCACAGCTATTAGAACTATTCAGGACCCTTTAGCTTTTGCTGCAAATGCTAATAATGCTAATAGAGAGAGCTCACATCAAAGCCCTACGAAATCTGCTCATGGATGCTGACTGAGTACACAGCTATATCGTTAATTATCAGCTCTTATTTAGAAAATGTTAAATTCATTAAGGCTGTAATGAGGCTTCACATTCAGTCCTCCTTAAACTATTAACCGCAAATGAAGTAAACTTCCGGGTTCATATGGAGTTGATTTTTAACCGGTGAGTCTGGGATCCAAAACCTCCAAAACTCCCAAACAAAACAACAACGACACTTAATTCCTTTCGACGAAGCAGAAACGGTCGCCACAGAAATCAAAGCTGGATGAGTTAATTGTTCCCTTAAAAGGCTGTCAATAAAGTCACAGCCTGTATATATTCATAAGCATCAAATACATCCATTCTTTTATCATTATTAGTCAGCTGCCCCAACCCGCCCCCACAACCGTGCCAAATATGTGGCAGTTTAACCAAACGAAGACCGTAGTACCTTCTCTTTTGATAGAAAAAGATGAGCAGATGTGTCTATTGTCCAACTATTAGGCTTAACGAACCAAGCCCAGCATGTGTGCATGAGTGTGCATGTGTGAGTGTGTGGGGGGCATATTTAATCCTTGTGCTTTAGAACTATTTGAGGATATAGTATGGCCATTAAACGGTGATAATAAAAATACAACACCCACATGTTATTTAGTCAATTAAGAACATTTGTTTTTTATTTGCAGAAACTTCTCAGAAATTTACACACGCATACACACACGTGCGCATCCACGGCAGGTGTGTACAATCCAGTCCCACAGATGGAAATCACGTGCTGACACGTAACATGACTACGTGTCCCTGTGTTGTTGTTGATGTTGTGGTGCACTTTGCATGAGTGTCCAACCCCCTCAAACCTGCAGCCTGACAAGAGCCCGCCCCCGCTTACATTTAAGTTACACGTCAAGGGCCGTTTAGCCTAATAGAGCGGTAGCGCAGGGCGTCCTCAGCCGGCCGAGGTGACAGCTTGCAGCGGTCAGTGTCCTTCTGGACCCCCTGCTGAATGAGGGACATGTCAAAGGTGACGCTTCAAGACTCCCAAAGCCAACATCTGCGGGGGGACAGATTAACCTTTCAGACTTTTCCCTGTTATGGACCTGCTAGGGGCCCCGCATCTGTCAGGGCCCCCACAATAGACCCTGCGCTCGGTTGAACGAGTTAAATAAAAGAAAAGAAAGAAAGAGAGAGAGAGAAGTTAAACTGCCTCTGATGTGAAGTCAATGTCAACGGCGTGTGTGTGACGTGTGTCGAGACAAAAGGACACTAATTCCTCGAAGTGTGGCTGTCCAACCGTGCAGACCTGCGGACATAATAGACTTTGGAGGGAGGAAAATAGAGCTGAGGACAGGAAAACAAAAAACACTAAATAAAATTATGTTAATTTAACAATAGCACCAACTTATTCCACACTGAGGCATCTGGTTTTATTTCAAGCATAATTTATTCTAATTCATTTTGATCAAAATTTTAAATACAATTTATTCTGTAAACTAAAAACTCAATTTCTCCCAATAAAACTTTTGATATTTTCGCGTCTGTTTTTATTTTTGATGCGCTCTCCTCGCACAAGCAAACGAGATCCAACAGGGCTAAGGTTTGGCCTTACTTGGAAGCAAACCTCATCTACACATTCTCATACGGATCGATAGGCTTCTGCCATGTCTGCACGACCTGAGCTGTGTGTTTATGTGTGTTGGCTTTCTGTGGCCATTGTGCCGAGATAGGCCAAACCTTACGAGGCTGTGACATTTGCTTTGCAGAGAATATAAGGGACACGGTTTTCTGAGCACTTCTGAAAGAGGATACATTTCAAGCGGAATTCAATTCAATTAGCACAAAAGAAACAGAAGCAGAGACCAAAGTGTGCCACAGATCCATACATGCGCGGATGAAGAAATACCGGCGAGTTGGAGGGAAAAATATTATATTGATCAAGTCTTATGAAATAGTGTGCGCCAAGGAAAACTTGATCCAGAGAATGGGCACTGAAAGTGCAAAATGTAGGTTTCACACTGATTATTAATCAGGGGCATAATTCCCATGAAGCCCCACAGCAGCATATCCGAGCAGCAACAATATAATGTCTGGCAGAGAGGACGGTGGATCAATATTTCAGCAGCTCTGCAAAATGACACAGCGTTGCAAGCTTTATAGATGCTCAAAATGACAATTACGGCTTGTTTAAGAATAAGCCTTTGCTAAATGGCATCTGGTGGAACTTAACTTTTATAAATGAGCCTACTTGATTTTGAGCAGTATGGTCATTGACCCTTTGCAATATAACGACGCATACATTCGGAAACTGAATCATCCTTTTGAAAATAAATCACTTCGCTTTTGTTTTATAGGTTTGAACCCATGAATTGATTTTACTGCTTCACCTCTAAAATCCCGAGATCCATAAATGGGTCCTCCTCTACTTTTAGATTATTTTTTTTATTTGAATTGGGAATTTAACAGAGGAAAATATATTAAAGCCTAAATATCTGAAAACATATGAACAGATTTCTCCCTTCTTTAAAATGAAAATGTGCATTGCAGCGTTGATGGCTGTCCTTTAGAGCAAAAAGCACAGGCCTTGAAAACACACCACAGCGCGCCAATCAATACTGAATAAAATTATAATTCCTGGAGGGACTCAGGCTAAGGCCTACGATTTGTTATAATAAACCAACCTAAAAATATACGTTTTTTTTTTTTTTGCGTAATTTGTTTGTGGGATTTTAGACAGGCGGTAATTATTTTCTCTTTGAATGATGTGATTATTTAAATGAGCAACCGGGTTATTTAAAAAACAAACAAACAAGAACACAAAACAAAAAACAAACGCCGTCTTATGGAAAATTGAAATAGTACTAAAAGTGTAGAAATTACGTTAGTTTAAGGCAGTAGGCCAGCTTTATTCTGAGGTTGAAAAGAAAAATAATAATTAAAATAAAAACAGGTCACATGAATAACATAATACAGCCTGGTAGGAAATGGTAAACTTAGATGAAATGAAGCTAAAGAGCGATCTAAAGATTTAAAGATCTTTGAAGATCATTTTAAGAAGTTTTTGTTGAAAGTTTTTTCTTTTCTTTCCTCCCCAATAACCAGAATTTTGGAACACACACGCCTTGGGGCTGTGATGTAAAATGGCTTAAAATTTCATCCCAGATTAAGGAATTTACTTTTTATTTCCCCACCTAATTATTATAAATGCCATCATGGCCGAGCAGCAGATGCCGGACCTGCTGCCTTGCTCAGGGGTAACTCAACTGCCTTTTGTGTTATTCCGCGTCACTTGCTCTGATTCGTGCACTCATGTGAAATTAACAAGGCATCACTTTACATTAAGGTGCCCATATGCCGCCCAATTACTCCCTGTAACTTTGGTAAGACTCCAATTATGACAACAAAACCGTGTCAACGATAGCCAAACCAGCCCCACTAAATGTGCGCTTCAAATCCAAATGACCTCGTACACAAACAGGCTGTGTGGCTTTTGGAGGCGACAATAACGAGTTTAGGGAAATTTAAAATTTCTTCCAAATTTCTGAAATAAATAAATGTAATAAAAAAAACCTGCTTATTGCCGTGTTTCTGTAGCCACAATCTCTCGGCTTTTCCTTTTAACTATTTTAGTTGATCCTAATTATGGTTTTCTGTACTAATAGCGAACCTGTAAATAGTGTCTTGTATTATTTGCAGTTAACACGTATAAAAGTAGCTCATGAGTAAACAGACTATACAAAGCTGCAGAATACACATTGGCACACTATGTCCTAAATATTTCTATAAACTGCAATTTGAACAAAAATCGAAACTATTGTCTTCATGTAGATGTATCTGCTGATTTAGAACATTTATAATTTGAGGTTTAATAAATAAGGATTTTATTATTATTAATATCTGCAGCACTGCGTCAGATTTGGATAAAATCTATGCATTTTATCCATGCATTAACAACAGGAGTGTGGGTATATTTTTCAATAAGAGATTTGACAGCATGCTGGCCAGCTTAACTATCTTTACAGGTGCATCGTTATCATCGCATCTAAATGATCAATTTCTCTTTAGAAATTCAAATTAATGCGAACTGTGTGTGCAACCAAAAACGTCTGAATTCTGAAATATTTATGCGTGTGTTGGTGGTTACATTGCCTCACGAACTCGTAACTATTGGGACTTATTTTCTGATGTTTTAGATAAAATGAAAATGTGAGAAACGAAGTCGACTCTCAAGCAGTTTCAGTTAATTATGAAGCAAGCCGGTCGGCCACGCAGTGCGGAAATTGTATTATTTTAAGTACAGTTAAACCAACATTTAACTAGGAAAAGACCATTTTAATTGATGCCCTTACTATAGACTGAAATGCCCTTACTATAGACTGAAATGTGGCGCAGCTGCTTTAAGTTTGTGCGCATATGCGCCAGAGAAACACTCAGCTTGTGTGCGTCAGATTCGGAAAGCACTCTTTTTTTCCACATCTCTTCTCAACAGGGTGCCAGTCTTCAAATGTGTGCATTTAAACTCTTCTTCTTCTTTTGCGTCACACATAAACACAGACACGCACACGCACGGCAAACGCACGCACGCACGCACACACACACACACACACACACACACACACTGTAGTTCCAGACTTTAACGCAGGATCCTTTTCTGTCATGCATCTTTATCATCCTTCCAGCTCACTGCCTTACAGAAGCGCACAGAACGACAGAGCCTCAACATCAATTTACATAAGCTCTTTAACTCCAACATGCGAGCTGCAAAAAGCTGAGGATGCGCTGGCATCCTCACGTCTCCTCCATCTATGTCCTTCCCGTCCCTTACTCTCCCTCATCCTCCTCCTCCTCCGGCTCTCCAAGCCTCCAGTTTTTCTCCAGAGCTGCCAGAGTCCCAAATCCTGACCGAGGTAAAGATCCTTAGCCGCTGCATGCGCCTCGTTTCCAGTCGCAAATTCGTCTCCCCGTACAAAGCCTCTCTTTTCCTGCAGCGATACCGTGCATCTCCCCGTGCTTTTCTCGATGCAGACGCATTTGAATAGCTGGCCGGTGTTGTTATGGATCCGTGCGCACTGAAAGAGAATCAGTATGCAAATTGTTTCAGTATCAATCGAAAGGTTCGATCCGCCTGAGCGTCAGCCCCTTTGGCACGAGAAGCTCCTTCGCTGCATAAATGTTTATAATGATCCCATATATTAACCCACAGTCAGATGAGAGAACAAACTGCAGTATTATTAAGACGCAGATCAAATATTTTTTTCAGGATAAAAAAAGGGGAAATTTAAGGAAGCAGACGGAGCCTCCATGACTAAGACTTAAACATAGTTTATTTGTGAAATACTCCCACAATAAGTACAATCAGAGTGTATAAGTCCCTCTGAAGCATTTATGGGCTACAATTAATATTCAATCAATATTTATTTTTCTCTTCTCACTTATGCTTATATTTGTGCAAATATATACATATATTTAGAATAAAGAGAGAGAGATTGAAGCATTACAGCACAAGTTTAATCTTTGCAATCTCAAAATAAGCACTTGAAATAATCTACTACAAATATGAGCTAACTACTGTCTTACTTTTTTGGCATCACGTGGTTGGACTGAAATTGCTTTCTGTGGTCTGTCAGTGCGGTCATGTATGGTTTTCTGTCTCTACTATATTCTAATATATACTCTAATATTTCACTAAATCTAACCTGTAGGGCAGAACAGCAGTGCTTTTGAAAAAAAAAACATTATGGAAAAGAAACACGTTTGTAACTGTGCATTTAAGAGAGAAATTTAAATTGTAAAATAAGTGGGGGGTAAAAATATATGAGCTCTGCAAAGAGGGGAGAAGTGTAGGGAGAGGCAAATAAGAGGGTGGAGTAAAGGTGAAGACTTGAGTGGATCTATGAATTCAGGTAATCAAGAGCAGGAGATGGATGATGAAGGAAAAGAGAGGAAGGGGGCACTAAAAGGTGAAAGGAAAGGCTATGGTGAGGGCAGAGAGAAGGAGAGTGTGGTCAGGAGGAGATAAAGCATAGAGTCCGTTATCCATCTGTCCCAGGGTTAGAGTTTGGCCAGCTGAGGGGGTCAGGGGTGAAGGGTCAGTGAACCCTGGGCCTGAGGGCCAGTGGTCAGTGCACTGGCAGATACACACCAGAGAGAGGATGGTAAATAAAAAGTGGTGAGGTCCTCATACCATTCTGCTCACAGAGAAATTGTATTCTCAAACAAAATACATTTGGATTGTTTCCATTTACTAGATCAGACGGAAGTCTCCTGTTTATAAGATTTTTCAAAGAGGTTTTTAGTAACTACGTCCATTACATTATAATGCAAATTAAGACATAAAAAGGTTACTTAATATTTCATTTTTTGTTGACCAACAACTTTACTTCCAGGTCAATTTAATGGCTATTCTGAAGCTTTCAGTTGTATGGCATGATTGTCACCAGCAGCTGGAGTCATGTAATATTTCATTGTTTGAATTTTCATTTTTATATGAGTACTTTAAGGAGTCCTTAAAACACATTTTCTTGTATGTATACATCATACATGTGTTTTATGATTTTATTTCACCTTTTAGAAATGTGATTCAAGTCATTCCTTGTGTATTTATATTAACCTTTTCAAAATTAAATAACACGCCATCCTAAACTGTAGACAAAATGCATCTTAATTACTAGTAAGTTTTAAAAGAACATTACCTTCACAACAAAGATGCAAAATATGATTTATTTATGAAAGCTAATTAGTTCCTGTGATTTTATAGAAGTGAATGGAGTCCCAGGAAGCTGAAAAGCTCAGAAGTGTAGATCAGTGTTTAAACTTTAATAATGCTTTGAACAGGAGTGTCCCTCCTGATCAGTTAAGATCCTCTCAGCCACTTACACTATCGGAAGTGCTATATTTAATAACTAAGCTCCACCTGTTAAAAGCAATGTGTGTGCAGCACACAGTGTGTGCAGATTTTACAAGGTGCTCAGTGGTTGGGTCAAGGATTGCTGTCTTTTACTTGTGTCTGAAAATCTATACCTTGGAAAGGGGGAGGATTATACATTTCATGTCAACAACAGACTGTCCTTTTCTTTGTGTGTGCGCGCGTGTGTGTTTGGCTGCGAGTGGCTTACCATTGTGCACAATAGGTTTCTGATGGCATGTGTACATCTCTGTGAGGCAGGAAGAATCTGACTTCATTTTAGAGGATGTGTGCTTTAAACTTTTATATAGAAACTTCTTTATGCCAACTGTAAGCTTGCGGTTTTTATCAAATGTTGTCTAAAGAGAGAAATATAGCAGTTCCTCAATAGTCAGTTGCAGAAAAAGAAAACAACTTCCCTGGAGCAGATTACCAGTGTTAATATTAGGCTGGTCAGAGCCATAATAATCTAGTATGGATATTTATCACAATTTAAAAATCACATGTCTGAAATAATATGGATATGTTTTTTTTTAAATAAATAAAATAACTTTGGAATGACAGGGGATTCATTTTTCAATTTGGCTTTCCACGGGCCTACAATAGCCATCACAATGCTTCAATTCACAGCCTTCATAGAAATATTGAATTAATACCTTTTTCAACATGAAATTCGAGGCCAAGACTACAGTGATTCCAGAAGTGTTTCTTATTATTTTACAGTCCTCTTGTTAACCTTTTTACCGCCTTTTTATATTATTATTTGTCCTCTTTGCCCAGTAGCAGATTTTGAGCATTTATTTTAAAATGCCTGAGTGTCATAAAGAAACACAATATTTTTCAGGTTTTGACATTCAGGTGAATCATTAACTTGCAGAGAAGTTCAGTGTGTTGAGCTCACTCTGACTGCTTGCAGGCATGTTGCTTCCATGTCCTCCAGAGTCAGTGCAAATAAATGTTTGAGGATGTGAATCAGGTTAATTATTTTTGTACATTTATCTTGAGCAAAGCATAGTTATAGATGAACTGTAATTATGTCTCTGAATATCTGGATACGTAAGTTTGGGGGTTCATTTGAGGGAGGAGGGTGGGGGTGGGAGGAGACTGGTGAGATTAGTAGGGAAAGCGTGGACAATGATAGCTGCATCTAAAAGAGGATTACACAGGTTCATCCTGTCATCATGTACCTACCATTATAGGATTATGAAGGCCACTTCCACCTACTCCATTCAACACTGCAATAATGAAGGGTGAAGCCTTCAGAATAGCTCCACCACACTTGTACACGTTCAAAACATCAACAAGAAAGGGAACAAAGGCGGTCATGTCCATGTCAGGAGTGCAACTTTGAGATTTATCACATGTTTGGATCGCAGTGTTTAAGCCAAGTGTTCGCTCTACATACATAGGTCACAGCCTAGTTTCTCTGAGAGTCAAGGTGGTGTGAGCAAAGAGATGCAACACTGGAGACAGAAAACACAATTTAATCCCAGACAGGCCCACAAACACATGCAGACAAGTTGAAGCCTGTTACACAACTAAAATGATATTTATAAGTGTTAGGCACACACAAAAGTTGAGCAAATGTATGAATGAATGGAGCTATAATTGCCCACTATACTCACACGCATACAACCACCATCTGTATAACAGTGAATACTGATTTGGCACAGTCTCTCATGATATCTATTGTTCATTAGTCACTGTTATCCCGCTTTGATGTAGCTGTAATGGGCTTTCGATGTGTAGACCGGCTCCATAAAGACTCCTGTTTAGTAACGGCTACAGTTTAAATGCTCTTAATGTGCTGCTGAGGTGTGGGGAGGGGCCAGGAGCTGTAAATCACAGAGAAATGGGGGGAAGAGGGGTGGAGGTGAAGAAAGGAGCGATTGGAGAGGAGAGAAAAGAAGAGACGAAAGGAGGGGAGGGAGGAGTGGAGGTTCAGGGACGAGTGTTTGGAATCTGTGTGTGTGCATTCTGACGAGCAGAGAGAACCTCCCTCGAAACTGCAGATGTGTTTACACAGCACAGGTTCACACAGTCACACACAGTCTCTCTCATACACACAAGCACACACAGTTCGCCCCGAGCTCTCACTCCATAGTTAAGGTGTCTCTGTGACACGTGCATGCTTACAGTAAGTTTAGCATTAGGTTCTACAACAGGGGATTGAACTAACGTGTGTGGATGTGTGTGTATGGTCTGTCTTGTTCCCAGTAGGGACAAAGCAAACAGACAGAGGTAGCTATCAGCCTCTCCATTGTATTCATCCAATCACTAATCTTTAATGGTTAAATCATTATCCATCCACAACCTTTTCAAAGGGCCAGGCAAACACTACTGGGCTGTCACAAGGCAGCACCATCCCTTAATATGTTACTGAACCACACACACACGCTATGAGAATTACAATTTGCTGATAACACATGTGCCAAAACACACACTAATATAAGCATGTGCATTACATGTTGTGTAGGTATATGTATACAATACACAAAGAATCAGTGCTGTTGCCATCTCCAGGTCTGAGGGGCTTCCATCACTCCCAGCAGGATATTCGGGCAAATCTAATTGCAGGTAAATGTGCAGTGCTGCTCTCTGTGGCTCCTGTGTGGAAAAGATGGGAGGAGAAGCCCAGCGACATGGTTAGTATTGGTCGGGATGACTGATTGGCCCTGCCCTAACTACATTAGACTGTGGAGAAGTGGCTGGCTCCCTTTCCCTCCCCCCTACTCACTGCTGCTCCTCTGTTCCCTCTCAGCCCCTCTGCTCTTTCGGGGATGGCAGCAGAGGTAGTCAGTGGGGCTTTGTGGAGCTACAACGTGGGTCCGCTGGCTGTGACCCATCCCAGCCGTGGATCCCTGCGTATCAACCTCCAATAGAAAGGCCTACGGTTGATTGGAGCCTATTAGCAGCCTGTTGGGCTGGAGGTAGTCCAAGCCCAGTGGAAGGCTCTGCCATCTAAGATCTGATCAGAGGTTATTAGCAGTAAAGAGCCACTGTGGATGAAGGGAGGAGAGACATCATTTACAGGGTCAGAGCTTGGCCGCACAGAGCCGGCTGGGCAGTGCACATACGCAGAAAATATGTGCGTGAAGCTACTCACACACAAGACAGTAAAGGGCGACTCATTACTCAGTGAGAGCTCAGGTTTCCAGCA